CTAATGTACTGTATGGCTTGTTCCTTCTGTCTTCATAGATCAATTAACTAATATGTGACTGATAGTTAGTTAGTTAACTTTTCCTGCCTGTAAGCCCCATCTCAACTCATTTAATAAGGTCCCGTTAGATGGACTAAAATTTAATCTAACCCAATTCACTGATTTTTTTTGTTCCACTGTAAACTAATTAGATGTCTTATCTGTTCATGTAAAATGAACTAAAGCAATTTGGCATGTAATTGTACATGAATAACCAACAACTGAAAAGGAAACACTGTCTCTCTCATTGGGGCAGGGACAAAGAGTGTGCAGGAGGCCGCTGTTGAATATTACCGGTGCAGGAACAGAATAATGGGATACTTCAACGCCTCGCACAGTGAGGTCCATAACTAGGGCTCCTAGGCACTATGGTAATATATATATGATAATAATATTAACTAATAGAATAACGACTATATGAAGTGTCATGCAACCGAAAGGTATTGCAAATATAGTAGACTGAAATTATATTTGTGCGGGAATTACTATATAATACTTTCATCCTCTTAATAATTTTACTGGAGGGAATTACTCTTTCATTTTACTATTCATTTAAACATCTGCTGAGGCCTTATGGCAAACTTTGACAAACTTTCTATTAAGAAGTAATTCTCTATCCATCTCTTACTGTTGTCTTCACCTCCATTTTTTAAAGAGACACATGCATAAAGGCAGATCCTCTGTTTTCATGGAAAAAGAAAAGGAGTACTTTTGGCACCTTAGAGACTAACCAATTTATTTGAGCATACGCTTTCGTGAGCTACAGCTGAGCTACATATAAAAGGGACACTAATGCAATATGAAAACCCAAGAAATTTGGGACTAGACCATTCAAGGCAAATAACACTGATTCGCTTCCCAATATTCATTATGGGGAAAATCCTGACCGGGCTGGTACTACAAGGTGAAAATAGCCACTTTCAGATGAGTCCATGCTTCAGAAATGCTGCCAGTCAGCACAGGGTTCCACTGGATGGGTCAGCGTTGATATGCAGTGCGGTCCCCTTTCCTGCTTTAAGCATCCTCCACTCCTACCTAGCGCCTAATGCTGCGGACTTTAGTATATGTGCTAACAGTCTAGGATTGGACAATCGACCCTAGCCACCAGACCACATGTGTGAACCATCTCTGTACGTTGGTCCCCCTATTTTAATACTTAAAACACTGTTGCTTACATGTGGAGAAGGAGCACTCTCTTGTGTGGTAGCACAACAGAGGACAGGAAGTTGCTCCATCTCTGGTTCTTTCATTATGCTGTTGGATCAAATAATTCAGGGCAATGTGACATATGATTCAGCAAATACAGTGTAGTATAACAGTGTCCTACTGTTTAACTGCTCTAAGCTTTAAAAGATTAGTAGAAACTTCCTGCTTCCATGGTTAGATTACAAAAAACATGGCTGGCTCCATTTTAAAACAAAAATGCAAAGTGAAAACTCTTCAGGACTTGACTGTGCTACCCTCACGGCCACATAGTACCTTCCTCAGTGAGTAGTCCAGTTGATTTCTTCAGTGAGACTACTCACAGAGTTAGGTACCACTCAGTATATGGGTTGTACAATTAGGATATCTGTCGTTTTTTTTCCTGTTTAGGCATGCAGGTATAGATTCAGCATCAGCCCCCACAAAATCATGTACAACCATCACTGAAGTTAATGGGAGTCTCATACACTTAAACCAGGGATGACTTTGGTAAACAGCAAGCAGTAGAGCTGGATTTGAACTATTAAGGGCTAAATTTTAACTTGGACTACACAGCCATGAAGGATAGTAAAGTGAGTTGGAACCTCCATTACACCTTTGCAAAGGCTACCCAGACCTTGAAACTGGGCAAGGAGAGAGAAAAGAATGAACTGCTACATGCTTGTTTACCACCTCACAGATTAAGAGAACGGGATCAGGAAATGAGTAGAACCTGGGCTCTATTTTCCAATACACTAGCCAGCATAGATATGCCAGACAAGGGGTGTCATAACTTACTGCTGGTACAAACTGGCAGCAAATTGTTAATTCCCACCACCCATGGACAAAGGGAAATCAGGAAGGGAATCAGCTATGACACAATTCCTCCTGCAGCTTATGTGCCAGCCTGTGCTCAGGCACACTCAAGCCTAAATTATGAGAACTGAAACCTCATTATTAGGATTGCAACTACATTTGTCCCTCTCAAAGTAGATCCGATAATTGCACTAAAAATTTCAAAGTTATGCCTCTGTCTTGTGACATGGACAGATGTGGATGTTGTACTTTTCAGTTACACTTTTTTTTAGGTTAACAATATGTATCTGATGAAGTGAGCTGTAGCTCACGAAAGCTTATGCTCAAATAAATTGGTTAGTCTCTAAGGTGCCACAAGTACTCCTTTTCTTTTTGTGAATACAGACTAACATGGCTGTTACTCTGAAACATTATAGAGAAAATATTTCACCCAAACAACAAATAGCTTATACACATGTCTAGCTTACCAGGTATCACCCAGCCTCCATATGGAGGCTCTGGATCAAGTGTGAAAATAACCTCCCTCCTCAGTCAGGGTGGTCACTTTAGATGGCTTTCAGTTCTTTATTTGCCTGGCCTCTTGAACCATGTCAAACCAGTATGTGTAATTTCCCCCAGGGATGAAACTTCTTCAGACTTATTACTTGCCTTAGGGATGTGCATTAATTATTCCCTAGTGATTATAGTTCCTGAGGAAACATTTTAACACCCGTATTGAATCAGGAATACAATCCCTAGCTCATAAAGACATACACAAAATTTATAAGGTTGGAATATTCATAGATTATTGTATCATGTGCTGATAGCATCCATCACAGTCACCATATTTTCCCCAGCAATTAGAGTATTTGACTATATCGGAATGGTAGATGGGTTGGTTGTAAAGAAAACAAAGTGCCATGTTTTCTTCCTTTCAAAAAACAGAAACAGAAAACACAACAGCAAGAAGAATGCTGCAATTTTAAAGATTTTCTATAGGAAGCAGTCTGTGATACTGAATAGACGTTCCAGTCTTGCATACTTATAGATGTACTGCCTCAATACGAGTGCAAAATGCATTAGAAAATCCTGACAGGCAGCAATGAAGGGACAACAGCTAAGTGAACAAAAATATAATCTATCATAGGGAACAAAGGAAAAAAGAGGAAAAAAGAAAAGGAAAAAAAGTGGAGGATTTATTTTAAAAGGTTGAACTGTGATGTACATTTGAAGTTTTGAAAACTAGTGAATATCTTTTAGGGTTGGCCTAAATTACTCTGTAAATTTGTTTCTATGGGGCTTTTTGGAAGAAAAATAAGTAGAGGTTACAAGTGTTCATATTTACTTACTTACAGGAGTTCAACTATTTTTGCAGATTTAAAAGGAGAATTGGCAAGAAGTTTAAAGTCACCACTTGATCTCTCAAGACTATCTGGTTGAGAACCAGCTTTGATTTCAAAATGCTTTTTTTAAAAACCCAGCAATCTATTGCTGAGAATTTTGTTTTAAACATGAGGAACTTGGGCAGAACTGAAATTTGCCCTTACAAAAGCACAAGGGGGTTGCATGATGATTTGCATCACGGGTTTCAGTGCCAGGGTTAGGTGGGGGTAGAAAGAGCAGTCTTCAAGGGACTTCTACTCTCTACTGCTCCCGGGCTCCCACACAGATAGAGGGCAGGGCAGGAAATTTTCAGTTTTTTCAAGTTAGTGTGGCTCCATCCATATATCAGCCAGTGAAGTTCAGAGAGCATGGAAGGAGACTGGCATAGATTAGTGACACAGTCCCTCCCCCAGGAGCATTAGGAAACTAGGGAGGAACTTGTGAGTCAGAGTCATAGCTTCCTGGTCTTTTTCTGAGCTGTCATGGATATGTAACACCTCTCTCTCAGAGGGTAGAGAGGGGGGGTTTCAATATTACAGTTTAGTCCTATTTTATTAGAGGATCCCAAAACACAGGATGCTGCCTTTTCCAGCTGTCTTCCCAGTAGCAGTTAAATAATAAAACACCACCACAAAAGACAAAAGTGGCCTAAGTAAGTAATGATGATGATGACGACAACAATGATGCACAGGCAAGGAAACGAAACAAAAGAATCACGTTAAATTTCAGCTTCATTAAAAAGAAAGGAGAAAAAAATGTTGAAATGTTGAAAAAAATGGATGAAACCATGGCAGAAGTGATGGGGACAGAAATGTTGTTTTCGGATTTATAACAGAACGTATATGAAGGAAAACCACAAAAGCAGTTCATTTCACCACACCCCACTCCCCTTTTTTGTGAAGAACAGTTTGTTACAGAATCTCTGGGAAAAACCCACACCTCCTTTTAGCAGCACATACTGTACATGAACTATGCTCTGGTTAAATTCCTCTTTCTGCACCTGCAAACATATGCTATCGAAATTAGTTACTTGCTAATTCACAAAGCCAGATTCTGTTCTCTGTTAAACTGATGTAATCCTGGAGTAACAATGTTCAAATCAATGGAGTTGTTCCAAAATTACACTGATGTAACTGGGTTCCAAATCTAGTTCATTATGTGTCAGTGTTTCTTAATACTTCTGCTGAAACCCCTGCTCCAATGAGTCCTAGAGTTCATTGTAATAAAGACTGCAAACTAAGAATATACAGTATATAAAGTTGTATCTATTGCCATGAAGAAGCCTAATAATCCTGACAGAACCCGCACAGGTAAACTGAGAACAAGTGAGATGTCGTTATTGGCACACTATCAACATAGTGATCCAAAGGCATCAGATTCAAATTCATGAAGTCTATATAGAGTTGACATGCAATGGGGAACCCCAGAAGCATTATCAACAGGAGACTAACCTTTCTGATTATCTTCTTATACAAGGCACACACACACAAATCCCTGCCACACACATAGCAAAGTCTAATGTCATGTCACTTCAATGTGCATGTTTTAGTGTTTGGTGCATGGAGAAATGACATACAAGAACATGAAAAAAAATTACTTACCTGGGCCAATGCAAAATGATGCAATTATTGCAAGAATGCAAAATATACTGAGATAGGGGAGCCAGTATGCACGATTCTGGAAAAAACACAACAAAAAATAACCCACACTAGCATTACTTATGTCAAATGCCTAATAAGAGATCACATGGAATACAAAATATTCTTTACATTTTTTCCATAGATTAGGGTTTATGCCAAGAGTTAGTCTTAGAAATCAGTATTCCTGAAATATTTATTAGACAATTTGTATTAAAATTAAAATTTGGAATCTATACAGTGAAATGTCAAGAGGTCTGCTACATTGAAGAAGCCACAAATATTCAAAAAACTCATAACTTCTTATGCTGCAATTCAAGCCAAGCTGTGAAAGTTTCCTTGGGTTGCACAAACTCTTCTTAGTCACCTTCCCCAGATGTCTCTGCCATATTATTAAAGCCAGTATGGCAGATTTTTTAAATGACAAAGTTAATCTGTGTGAAGGATGGACTAAATACACGTCTCTCAATGGGACAGGGAGTTCTGTTCACCAGAAGCTGGGACTTGGTAACAGGGGAAGGATTGCTTGATGATTATCTGTTCTGTTCATTTCCTCTGAAGCACCTGGCAAAAGACAGGATACTAGGCTAGATGGATCTTTAGTCTTATCCAGTATGGCCTTTCATACGTACTAAGCTTAAAATAATATACATTGGGTGTGGTCAAACAGGTTGGGATATTCAGCCACATCCTGAAATTGTAGACAAACAACCTAATGGATCTGATTCTGCAGTAAAGGAAAGTTTTGTACGGAAAAGGACAGCCACAGGATCAGCCCATAGATCAGTGGTGGGAAACCTGCGGCCCGTGGGCTGCACACAGCCCATCAGGGCAAGCCGCTGGCAGGCCACCAGACCGTTTGTTTACATTTGCTTGGCCACTTGCAGCTCCCAGTGGCCAGGAACAGCGAACCGCGGCCACTGGGAGCTGCAGGCAGCCGTGCAAATGTAAACAAATGGTCTGGCGGCCTGCCAGTGGCTTGCCCTGATGGGCCGTAGGTTACCCACCACTGCCATAGATTGTAGATGGTTTTATAAGTCTTTGGGTATGTCTAAACTTCGAGCTGGAAGTGTCAATTCCAGCTCAAAGAGGCTTACATGCACTAGCTTTCATCAAGCTAATGTGGTAAAACAGAATGTAGCCTCAGCAACGTGAGCGGTGAGACAGTATAGGTGCCCAGGGTATATAACTAGCATCTTGCATGGGTATGTGCTCAGGGCAACTAGCTCCTTGTGCCATTGCAGCTACACTTTATTTTTAATGCTTTAGTTTAATCAGATCTAGTGCGGGTATGTCTCCCTGACCTGGAATTTACATTTCCAGCTTACAGTGTAGACACAGCCAGTGTATTCTTCCAAAGTTCCACACTTCTATTTCTATTACAGATTACGTGGTTTTGTGAGGAGTTCATTTTGTCTACAGAAAACTAAGTGAAGCAACAGCAATACAGGTAAAAAGTAATCAAAAGGAACTGACTAAGATTAAAAAGAAGAGCTTAAAGGAAGGCAACATTTGATTCAATAGGATCTCTCTAAATTATATGAGCTTTCCCTCTAGCTTCAAATACGGAGAGAGAATTCTACTGAATTGCCAGACCACAGTCCCTGATCTATGTAATGCTGAAAAATAAAAACTCCCGATTTCTTCCCACAGCCCTGTGGTCTCATCTTATTTCTCAGAAAATTTTGAATAGCAGAATGTTATAGTGAGGTTGCAAGTCTTTGTTATTTTTACAAAATATGAAGATATATTTACTTAGAGTATCTGAAGCATCATCATACCTATACTTACCAATATAAATGACTGATGTACAGGTTCAAACAAAAAAGTACTATACTGGTTTGTTCCTTTTTAACTTGTTTATTCATTTATACACTAACTCTCAAAATATGATAATATGTGAAGGCTCTTCTTGGCATTAGTGTGAATTCATAAACTTATATATTTATCAGAGATGAGCTCATGTTGGATCCAAAATACAGATCTAAACTTGTTAGCCCCTTATACAGAGAGGACACAGGTGCAAATTCAGAACCAGATATAATTTTCCTCTGAGTTCAAGGCTGTTTGCATCCTGGGTTCTTGGTTCAGACTTATATCTAATACTTAATGCATAATGGACTAGATATTCAGCTAATGTAAACTGACGTCACTCCACTAAAATCTAACTCACAGTCAATGGAGCATCACTGATTTACAACAGCTGAAGATCTAGTCCAATTAGTTTAAACATGTCACATTATGTATCAAAGGGTTTGGAAACGCCTACTTTTCAGTCAGCTCATAACAAAACTTGCAGCCTTCTATCTTATGTGTCTTGTGGTTGTGCTAACAACCTTGGGTTTATGACCTCGTCTGTAAAGTACAGTTCTGTTGTTTCATACAGTTGACAATATGGTAAGTCCTATTCAGATAGTTCACAGATTCATAGAGTTTAGAGCCAGAAGGCACCATTAGATCATCTAGTCTGACCTCCTGTAGAACACAGGCCCTTAAATTTCACCCATTTACCCTTATGCTGAGCCCAATAACTTGTCTTCAGATAAAGCACATCTCCAGAAAGGAATCCAGTCTTTATCTGAAGACATCAAGAGATGAAGAATCCACTGCTTCCCATGGTACTTTATTCCACTGGTTAATCACCCTCACTAATAAAAATTTGAGCCTTATTTCCAATTTGAATTTGTCTGGCTTCAGTTTCCACTCACTAGCTCTTGTGATGGTTTTACTACGTTCACATGCTACTCACATTGACTCTGAGGGTATGTCTACACTGCACAGTAAGGTATAATTATAGCCCCAGTGACCATACCTGTGCTAGCCATAAGCTAGCTAGTGCAGGTACGTTAGCGGTGAAGAAACAGGGGCATGGGAAAAGAACCCAAGTATGCACCCGGGGTCCCTGGCGGGATTTTACTGAGATAGGTAGCCTGCTCTGAAGCTTGTGTTGCCACATCGTCACTGCTACTATTACCTTCACTAGCTAGATTAAAGCAAGAGCAGGTATACCTACCCATAGTATAATTACACGTTGGTTTGCAATATAGACATACTGTCAGTGGCTCCCTTCGTATTAACTCAAGCAAAGAAATAGGATACTGCAGTAAGATAAATGGTGAGGCTCATTTTAGCTGCTGTTCCAAAGACAGAGAAATCTTGACTATAGCCAGCAGAAGAACAACTTGCTGAAAGATCACTAAAAGCAGGCTGTTCCAATCTATCAGAACTCTACTTTTCAGGCCCCAAGAACAAAAGAAAGCTGTACATGATAATGCATACAAACGGAGGACAAAAAAGGCAGACAAACTGATTTCCTTTCAGTGTTATAGTTTGTTTAATAACCTTCTTCCAATCATTTGACATAATCACTTGCGAAATAAATGCTAACCCTGCATCTCCATGCCAGGTGCTTCCTCCAACAAATAATGAATCTTCACCTTTTGAGTCCAAATAGCTGAACTGAACTTCAAAGCTACGGTCGCACTGGAATGTTTTCTCCCCCAGGAGCCTTCTGTTTGAATTTAACCTTTTTGCTTTTTCAAAAAAATCACCAGTAAACAGAAGGCACATAGAGAATGCAAGAAATTTCAAGACGATATATACTGTTTTACAGCAAAAGTATGAGGTGTTGAATGCAGTGTTTCTCAACCATGGGCAAAATTATCCTCTCCAATCTGCTTGCATGAAACTCTCACTTGGTAAGAAATGAATGAGACAATCTTTTAGATCACATTATGACTAACAGTCACACTCTGAAATAATTAAGTTTATAATTAAGCAGAAGACAGAACTTCAAATCTCCAATTCAGAATAGGCCATCATTTAAACTTAATCAAAAGTTGGAATGGTCCACAGAAGTAAGCTGAAGCCAAGAAGTACTATATACCGGACATTTAAAATAGAGAAATGAAAGAGAATAGTTACGTAATGAATATACTGTACCTGTAAAGTCAGGGATACTGAAAGTATCGTAAAGGAGATGACCATCAAACCAAAACCTCCGATAAGCAGAGGTCTACGTCCAAGTCGTTCAACAGCTAAACCCTGAATAAGAAGAAATGGTATTTTACTTTCTTGAAGAACCAGTAGAGCTTCGTTAATTAACAAAATTCTTATAGTGAAGTGATAGGTGCTACGTAAAAACCATAGATAGTAACAATTAACTTCATTTTGTTAATTCTCAGCTACAGTGTGTTCATAATTACAGTCAGATTACATCATTTGACGTCTTTTGGAAAATAGGTAATTGTAATATTCGGCATTGCTTATTAAAAATAGAGCAAATAAGTAATATTTGGTCGGGTTAAATTTTTTTCCCCTACAGAACCATAATGGGATTATACATGGAAGAATGTGAAACTTGTAATCGACTGTCTTAAAGTGCAATGGTGAAGGTTCAATTTCCATTAGTGCAGTGGATATCAAATCTCATTCAAACATGGCATAGATACACAGAAACCTGTGCATTTATGCACCTTTTCATTTATTTATGTTGACTACTTTGCAGACAAAGGAACTTAATTAAAAAAAATCACATAAAATCAGAGTATGTCTGCTAAAGAGGAATATAATAAAAAGAGCTCTAAAAAGGGTTAGTATAAAACAATTGATTTTCCTAGATTCATACGTAAATGAGTGAGATACATTTTAGACCAGACACATCAGAACATTCTCTAACATACTATTCCCACCAGTAATTACTAATTAAAATCGCTTTCTTATGAAGAAAGGGTAACATTACTTGAAATCTAAAAGGTATGTGTCAAATAACTGCTTCAGATGATTTTAAAAAGGTAGACTCATATTTATTTGCCAGGTAAATAGTTACCTTGGACGGCAAGCCTGAGTTCAAGCATCACCCATGCGAAAGGTGAAATGCAGAAATGAAATGAATTCTAAATTACATGGGCCTCCGTGGTGGTTTGCAGCCATGGAATTCCAGGAAAAGTTGTGTTATAGGCAGGCACGTGTCTGTAGATGTGGAGGGGGAGGACAACACTTGTGGAGTGGGTACTCTCTCCACAAATTTCAGCTCTGCTAGTTGTTATGGAAGAGGCATGGGGGTACGCAGCACTTAGTGAACTTAGTGGACCAAAGAAACCAACCCATGTAGATTTTATGGCCAGAAGGGACCACTATAATCACCTAGTCTGACCTCCACAACACAGGCCACAGAACTTCATTAGTAGTGGAGAGAATTATCCTTCCCTACTGCACAAGTAAACACACTCAAGCCCAGTAACTCTGGGTCAAAACAGAGGCACCCCATTGTAGAGGTAGTTGGAAAATTTTAGCCCAAGAGATTTTCCCAATCTCACAAAGAAAGTCCTTGGCAGAGCTTGGAACAGAAGACAGATCTCTGTGCTTCAACTAGTAGACCATGCCCTACGGACTTGATCCTGCAAGGTGCTGAGCATGCTGGCCCTGATCTAGCAAAGCACATGCTTCACAATGGGACTACTCATGTGTTAGAAGTTAAACAGATGTGTAAGTGCTTTGCTGGACCTGTGCCAGAGCACTCAGCTCCTTGCATGATTGAGGTCTAGCTCCCTTATGCAGGGAAGTCCCCATAATACAGTCTGTGGTGACCAAACAGGAGAGAGTAAATTACCTTTATATAATTCTTTTTCCCCTCTGGGTAATTCTGATTGCAATAATCAAGTCACAGAATAAACACCAATGCCTGTAGCTAAACAGAACCTGCCAGAAAATTTCACAGAGGGAGTAAAAGAAATTTAAAAGGTAAAGAAATGTATTTCTTTGCTGAATGTCTCCCACAGAATGATAGGAATATGTTCTGAATGTCCCTGCCTGAGGGTGGCTAGGGGGAAGGTCTACCCTAGAAAGTTTTGCTGTTTTAATGATACAGACAATACCAGTGTACTGCTGACAGTATGAAAGTGCTTATACCAGTATAATTTATGCCACTTTGGAAACCAGCAGAAAATATGCTGGTAGAAAGCACAGTTATACCAGCATAACTACCTCTACACTAGGGCTTTCAGCAGCACAGTTATGTTGGCAAAAAAAAAAAAATCACACCCCTAACTACACAGCTATACCAGTACAAACTTTTCAGAGTAGACCAGGGCTCAGTTTTCATTTCAGCTTTGCAGTTCATCACAATAAACCTAAATGTAAATCATTATTGCCTTAAAACTAGAACCCAGATGAACTTGTAGGAAGTAAGTCATTAACAGAAATAGAGAGAATGTTATAATTAATTAATTAATTAATTAAGTGGTTTATGGTGCAAGCAAAAAGACGTGTTATTCATTTGTAAGAGTGAGAACAGTGTTATCTTTCAAAACAGAATTCCTGTAGGATTCTTCTGTTAAACTGTCATACAAACCATGCACAGAGTTTGTCCCTCGGCATAAGGTGGTCATCTATAAACCACAATGGAAACTGGTGCAAAATAAGACACAAAGACAATTAAAAACTAGCTTCACATTTTCTATACCTCTTTTTCCTTGAAAGCATTTACAAATACTTCTCCTGTCATATATGTCAATCCTAGAGGTGTATTTTTATTTTCAAGTTAAATAAATGTCATGCTACTGTAGTTTCAGCTGTGGATTGTGCTTGGATATGGTCATGCTTCAGAAGTCATGCCTACAGTGCAAGTTATTTTGGATTCCAGCACTATTTTCATTCATTTTACTTTCACTTTGGATTGTTCTAGTTATTTTAAGTAACAAAATGAAGAGGTTTTTATTATTTTAAATAGCAAAAGAAACTGGTTTGGGCATCACCTAAGGATTCAAATTTTATATATATATATACACACACATACATATACACACACACACACACATATATATATAAAAATAGGACTATAATGACATATGAATGACAAGTTACAATTTCATGCTATGTTTTAAACTTTTGTCCCCTTTTGAATCTAATAAGCCACTCTAAATAAAATTTGACCGTTCTAAAAACTTCCGATAGTTTCAGTGGCTGAGACTTGGATATATAAGGTGCTGAACACTTTTGTGAGATGTTGTGAGCCCTCAACTACCAGTAAAGAGCCAGTCTTGAAAACACTTATGCATATGGATAACCTTGTTCTGGTAGGACATTTGTTTATGGTTGTGAGAGATGAGAAACGTTGAATAGAGCTGGATGAAGACTGCGCTTTCTACAAGTTGTTGGTGATTGGATGCTTTGCAATGCATTTGACATAACTGGATTCCTTAATTTTCATATAGAGTTGGTGGTGGTTGTGAATGGGAAACCTTCTGTGTTACACAACATTGTGTTTTTGTACTGAAATAGAGAAAGGGTATGAATGTCATTGTGACACAAAGGAAACTAGGGGTATGAGCAAAGATTTCATACAAGGAGCAATCTGAGAAACAGCCAAGATCAGGTTGAAATTTATGGCTGTTACCTTAATAATACAGCAAACCCCAGGAAGGGGGGAAAGTTTAGACCATTTTGTGTATGTGTGTGTGTTTGCACATACCTACAGCACTACAAGCAGATTGGGAGTGCCACCAAAGCCTTACATCTTGTATAAAAGTTTAATATTCTCTTAACTAAGAAATCATTTGACTCTTTCCTACTATTTATTGGTTTTCAGTGGGGGTGTGTGTGGGGGGGAACAATGGAAAGGAAGCAAAACACAACTATACCAAAGCATTCTTTTCACAGTCAGGTATATGGTTTACCATGTTTTTTCATATTACATATTTGTTATTATTTCTATTTATAGAATGGTAATACTTCCTGAATTTCCCATTCCCCTTGTCTTATTGATCCCAATGCTCTACTGAAATTAAATAGAAAGCTAAAGAGAAAAGGTCTCAACAAATAAATAAAAAGAAAGTCATATGTTATTGAGCTTGTAATGAGTTATTACATGTTTCATTGGTAAAGAATGCTACAGTTAAGATAACATACAGACTTTGATTATAAGCCCCTCTTTTGACAGATAACTTGCTCAAAAGTTGTTAATTAGCAAAACCCACTTAGATGTTTTTGTTACTCAGTGTGAAAAATGTTTCTATCAGTTTTAAAGCATTTATGGTTCTGCATTCACCATTTATCCGTAATAGGAATATTTCTCAAACCAGTAAAAACTGGTAGAAATCTTTTTGTACCTTAAGCCACTGTATATGGCATAAAAGGAAATACTACACGTGTTCACCTATGGTTACAGAAAAAGTGCAGCTGCTTTCTATTACACTGGATTGTGCTACCTGCCAAATAGTACAAAATATAGCACTTCGTTGTGAGATCATGAGCACACACCCGGGAAGGAAGAGTTGTGGTGGTTTCTGTGATTAACATAACTCTGAAGTTCTTGACTTCTGTGCAATTAATAATGCAACCGTAAAATTACACTGATGTAACTTTTCTCAGGTAGCAATACAACTTCATATATCACCAGTCAACAAAGGAACTATGTTCTCTATCAACAGATCACACACAACTACCTTTTGACTGACAACTCCTTTGAATAAATACAGTGTTAAAAAACCAATCGCCAATCGCTTCCACTTGAGTCAACTGCAGAAACTGGTGTTAACATAATGAAATCAGAGCATATTCAAAAATTCTGGGCATGTTTATGTGGTGAAAATGATTATATAAGGAAGTGGAATTGCTAACAGGTCCCAATTCTGTAGTTCTTACGGTAGGTTCCTGAATACTTCATTTCAAATTTTCCCCAACCCTCAAGTTTTGTTAAGAAAAACTCCCAATTTTACTCTCTTAATATCTTAAGACCTGCTATTAAATATGCTCTACTACTTTTCAATATTATAATTATTATTTATATTACTTTTTTCTCCTGACAGGCTTCTGACTGACTCTGTCCTGAATAAAGAAAAGGAGTATTTGTGGCACCTTAGAGACTAACCAATTTATTTGAGCATAAGCTTTCGTGAGCTACAGCTCACTTCGTCGGATGCGCATCCGATGAAGTGAGCTGTAGCTCACGAAAGCTTATGCTCAAATAAATTGGTTAGTCTCTAAGGTGCCACAAGTACTCCTTTTCTTTTTGCAAATACAGACTAACACGGCTGTTACTCTGA